CGCTCAGAGATGTGTATAAGAGACAGGCGTTGGCCTCTCTCTTGATCGATTCCTCGCCAACGGCTTGCTCGGCGATCTGTTTCAGAGGTTCGACGATGGGTTTAAAGCGCTCTCCAACGCGATATCCTCGTCTATTCTACCAGTTTTCAGAGCGCGATGCTTCTTGCGAATCGCTTGTTTTCGCGATCTGCTTCGCTATTCTCTCGCGATTTTTTATGCTATCCATGTTGAGGGAACGTTGCATAGTTGATGTATCGACTACAACTAACCACGTTACGGTACCGCGAACTCGTTACATTCTTTTCTGTATCGTTCATCTGTAAGAGCGCAGTCCTTATCTATCACTAGAAATCCATACTTTTGCTGCCAACAAGTACGACATAATTCACAGAAATCTTCGTATGACATGTCAGTGTTTACGTGATCGTTGTATACATGTTTCAGATTGGTTCCTTCCTATTTAAACAGGATCAACAGATTTGCGTTGTCACGTATAAGATGCTTTGGTATCTTTGCATACGTCTGACAAAGATAGAAACAGTCGACGTATGCGTGGCGGCCCATTGCAAAGTATTCTCTTATGACGTCTTGCTTGTCGCGTGCCACGTCATCAAAGATAAAAATGGAATTTGGAAGCGCCTCGTTCGGTAGAACATCGTCGCTGTTATTGGAAAATGTAAAATAACCAATTTCTTCTATCGGTGACAGTATACTCTCCAAGTATTGATATTTCGGTTGTTGCAATGATTTCGAGTATATGTGGGTGATACCCGATTGACCACGTCCCGATTGACCACCAGCCACTCACAGCGCTTGAACAGTGAAAAATCTCTAGGCACCGGCCGCTGTGAGTGGCTGTGGTCAATCGGGACGTGATCAAACGGGACGCTCCCGTATACGTACACGTTCTCAAAGCGTAGACCGTGCGGACTTTTCAGCAAGCTTAGCAATACGTTTGTCTTGCCACAGTTTGACGGACCACATATAATACCGCGTATAGAAGTCGGTAGCATGTTTCCATGCTTACGTATCTTCTCAGGTATTAGCTATACCTTGTTGTCGAAATTTATAACTTTAATCGTCTGCGACTGTCGCACGAACTGCATGTTTCCTTCTCTCCAATACCAAAAACTGAAAAACAATACCGAGAGCGGACCTATTTATAGAGGCGCGTAGATTGAAACAGATCAGTAGCCAAAATGTTTCCCATCGTATCGGATAACCGCGACATACACAATTTAACTGTCGAACAGTTAGAGTACATACCAAAAGTTGTTCTGTTGCGAGAGTTTTACAATTGTGTCGATCAATTGTGGAGCAGGTTACCCGAACATATAAAAGCTGATTCGGAAGTTCAACAGTATCGTCGGTGTCTGAAACATTACAATCAACCGTAGCAGCGGACACACGTTGACGGTCCTGCACCGTTTGTAAAGAATTGCAGCGAATGTCGGCGAAAGGTCGTGGCTTGTTAAACCGCGCGATAAACGCACTTCCTTTCGAACGGCATATCCCTGGATATCAGTTTTGCGGTCCGGGAACACATTTAAAAGGGCGATTGGCCAGAGGTGATTAGGGCATTAACCCGCTGGATGAAGCGTGTCGCGAGCACGATATAGCTTATTCACATAATAACGACCTCGCTAACGACACGTGGCTGACAAGATACTCGCCACGAAAGCGCGGAAACGCATTACCGCGAACGATTCGACTTTCGGAGAAAAGGCTGCTGCTACGACCGTTTGGGCCGCTATGAAGGCTAAAACAAAGCTCGGTATGGGTTTAAAGGCAAAGACGAAGACGAAGACGAAAAAGAAGAAGAGAGCAACGAGCAAGCGAATACTACCGGTTGCAAAACGCGGTGGTATGTTACCAATCCTACCAATATTGGGAGTTCTCGGTTCTATGATTGGCGGAGCTGCGGGAGTTGCGAAGGCGGTGAACGATAATAAAGTCATGCAGCGTCAACTGGAAGAACTGAAACGTCATAATCGCGTCATGGAAGGTCATGGACTTTATCTTGCTCCATATAAGCGTGGACAAGGAGTTTCGACGAGGAAAAAAAAGTCAAAAAAATACTAAAAGTGCCCAAGGGCGTAACTACCAACATACAACTGCAGCAACTGGCAAAACGTTTGCGTATTCCATATTTTAGAGGTGTTTTCATGCGTACTACCTTACAAACAGATGGAGTATACCGAAGCGAGAGTGGTATCGTGAATTTGGACGATGCCGAAGGTACTCATTGGGTAGCGTATGCGAAGAGAGGAAATCGTGCTATATATTTCGACAGTTTTGGAAATCTTCGACCGCCGAAGGAATTGGTGCGATATTTAAATGACGGCGCAACTCAAATCGAGTACAATCACACGTCTCACCAACGTTATGATCAAAGCAATTGCGGGCAACTCTGTCTGCAATTTTTACAAACTGTTGCCGATCAATTTAAAGATTGATATTACACTATTTAACTCAGTATTCGTTCAAACATGTCACTGATATTTACACTGTCTTG